AGTTTGAAGCATCCGATTCAATTATAAATGGCAAGGAGAATTTGGGAAGCCGCAGCACAGGTGTCTCTGTCATGGCTTTTTTTAATGCTAAAAAAGCATCCTCTGTGCTTGGTGACCAATGGAATGAATCACTTTTAAGAAGATCTGTCAGGGGAGAAGCTAGAGAAGCATATTGTCGTACAAATCGTCTGTAATATCCCATTAAACCCAAGAAACCCCGAAGCTGTTTTAAGGTTCTTGGAACTGGCCAATGAATCATGGCGGAGACCTTCTTGGGATCAGCTGTAACTCCCTCACCCGAGACTAAATGTCCCAAGTATTCTATCTCAGAAACTCCGAAAGCACATTTACTCATCTTGACATAAAACTGATTCTGCAAAAGACAGTGCAGTGCAGTCCTCAAATGCAGAATGTGATCTTCCATGGTAGTGCTATACACAAGTATATCATAAAAAAAAAAAAAAACAATCACGAACCTGCGAAGATGAGCCTTAAACAAGTGATTCATAGCCCCTTGGAAGGTAGAAGGAGCATTCGTTAAGCCGAATGGCATAACCAAAAACTCGTAATGACCCTCATGGGTTCGAAAGGCGGTCTTGAATACGTCATCCGGAGTCATCCTTATCTGGTGATAGCCACTGCGTAAGTCCAATTTGGAGAATACCTTTACCCCATGTAATTCGTCCAACAACTCATCAATTGTCGGAATAGGAAAGCGGTCCTTCACAGTAATATTATTGAGCTGCCTATAGTCAATACACATGCGCCAAGTGCCATCTTGTTTCTTGACTAGCAACACTGGAGAAGAAAATGGACTTCTACTTTCTTGTATGTACCCAGAAGTTAACAAATCAGCAACTTGTTGTTCTATCTCAGCCTTCTGGTGATATGCATACCTATAAGGATGTACTGATACTGGCTTCGCACCCTCCTCAAAATGAATTGAATGATTACAACCTCTAAATGGGGGCAACGCATGAGGAATCTGGAAAACAGCTTGGAAGGCCACTAGTACCTTCCATAATTCCGGAGAAACCTTATCTTTCATCATCTCCACCTCTGCATTAGACTGTTGTACTCCCAAATGAAGCATCAATTTGGAATTGGAATGCTGATCAGAATCCCCTTTCAACAATACCCTCTTGCTGCACCACTCAAACTCCATGGTTAAAAGGTCATAATCATGTATCACCCTTCCCAATTTGGCTAACCACATGATTCCCAAAATTTTTCCCAAATCATGTAATTCAATAAACCACAAATCAACTACAAATTGATGTCCTTGAATTAGGAGTTTCACATCAAGACATTTTTTTCTCAAACAACAAAAATTCTCCATTTCCCAAACAAACCCGCATCTTAGTGGTTCTGGACATAGGTAAATCAAATCTTTCAGCTAACTCCCTATTGATAAAGTTGTGAGAGCTACCTGAGTCGATTAAAACCTGAACCATTGCTCCATGGAATGGAATGTCAAAATGCAAGGCCCGAGGATTGGTGTCTCCCACCATTGAATGTAAGGCTGCATCACTCATTTCAATAGTTTTGGCCTCTAGCTGCCAAACTATCTGCTCATCTGGTTGATCATCCAACTCATCCTCCTCACCTATCAACAGTAGCATCCTCCCTTGACATCTATGGGGCACATTCCATTTTTCATTACAATGATAATAGAGACCTGACTCTCTCCGTTTTTGCAGGTATTCATGTGACAACTTCTTAACCAGAGGTAAATAGGGGGCAGGTAAAGCTGGTACCGAATTAATGGGTTTAACTTGGGGTACCTGTGGAGACGAAGAAAACTGAGGATCTCCCATCGATTGCCTCCCATAGAGCGGTTTGGAGTTGGCCGAGAACGAAGTACCAAGCTCACTATGATGGGCCTCATATGCCACCATGGCTTGATGGAGAGAAGTGGGGTTATGAAATTGGATGGCGCGCCTCAAATCAGCATGCAAACTAGAAATGAAAAAACTAGCAAGTACCTCATCTGAAAATTCAGTTACTTGATTGATTAGGGCTTCAAATTCACGGATGTAGTCCTTCAAAGCACCCGATTGTGTAAGTTTGGAAAGAACCCCCTTGAGATCCATGTACGATTTAGCCCCAAATCTTTGACACAAAGCTATCTTAAAATCCATCCAAGATTTAATAGACCATCCCTTGTACAACCATTGATACCAAGGTAAAGCTGCTCCTTCCATTTTGAGCCCTGCCAATCGAACTTTATACTCCTCTGGAACATGTTGCAATTCATACAACATCTCTGTTTTAAAGATCCAACCGTTTGGATCCACGACAAGAAATGCCGGAAACTCCATGCGAACGAACTTAAGAAACGACTGTGGGTCGTTATGGTCAACCCTAACACCGCCTCGCCCATTGGTGTGGGATGGGTCTTCTGGAACCGACAACGATGGTGGATCCCCTTGCGTGTGCGGTAAACTCGAAGACGAAGAAGACGAAGATGGTTCTTTCTGTGGTCCTGGGTCACGACCTCGACTTTCCAAACCCAGCAACGCTGAATGAATTTGTTGCAATTGATTGTTGAAAGTGGCGATTTGTGCCTGATTTTCATCCAATCGTTGCTCCATTCGGAGTTGGAAAGTGCCAAACTCTTCTGCAAGATCCTGCACCCTCATGGTGGAAAGTCTTGGAGAAGCCAGTGAAAGCACCAATGATAGAGCGAAGCTCTGGAAAGGAACAGAATGAACACAATTTTATTAATTCGATATGTTTTTCCTCTCAACAATTCTCTATATACAGATACAAGGATCCTACTAATACAAAGAATCATTAAATGTTCCCAGGTCCATCAATATTGGACCACTACTTTACAAATGGAAATCTACGGCCCAACAAGGGGCACTGGTTAGTCTCTTGGGCCTAGCCTTGACCGTATCACTGTTCATTCTCAGTCTCTTGGAATACTTTAATCTTGACAGCAATCAATTTAAATACCAACTTAGACAACCCGTCAACATTTATATTCAAAAGGAGTAACATTGGGACAATTTATATTTTTGCATGACCCAATTGATAAAGTTAAACTATGGATGATTAATTTTGTTAATGAAAGCATCTTTGGAGGATGAAATATTATTTTACCTTTAAAAGTTGGGAAATATTAATCTTCTGTTATGTTCTCTCACTTCGATCTTCGTACCCCACCTTTTTTTTTCTTTTTTCTTGTAATGGTGGGACCCACATATTTTCTCTCTACAACATAAGATAACTATCTTATGTTAAATGAGACTAATAAAACCCTTAAAAGTTTTAATGTGTTAATAATTTGGTTAAACGTTTTAGAAACAGTTTCAACTAATCCACTTTTTTTTCTTTTTTTGGTGAACAACGAATCCAGTTAAACTTGGAAGTTTTTTGGTGACTCTGTGAAAGTAAATTCCCGCGATTTCGTTGATTGAGCTTACTATCAAATTATTTGAACGTATCTAATATCTGTTTGCATTAAGCACTTAAACATTTTGATTTTTTTTTTTGGATGAGCTTAATAAAATAGCTATTAAAACCTATATAAGCTTTTGAAAACTTATTTTAAATTTAAACTATATAAAATTAAGCGTTTGCAAAAGCTAACAACTTAGGCCGTAGTTGTCTTTAGAATAATAGATAAACTTATGATAAGTCCTACTCAAAAATACTAATTTAAGTTGTTTATAATTTAAAATGTAGAACAAATAAAAGCTTATAAATTATAATGCAATAAGAATTTGCCTTCAATTTATAAAGAGAATCTTCAACTTTTTTTTTTCTTTTTACTTATTCAATGTGAGACTAGTATAAAATAACAAGTTTTATTTTATACATTGGGGATGGTTATATTGACAAACTTTTTTTCTTACAAACTGCACTAAGTCTGACCAGTCATACACTCTTGATTGAAGTCTGACTGGTCAGACATATTGTAGTTTGTAAACAAAAAATTTGTAAATATAATCTTTCCCTTATACATTTGCTTATATTTAAGGGATATATTATTCTATCTACCTCTTTTTCTACCTATTTTTTCTACCATTCTCCAATACCATTAGATCAGAATCTCAACTATCTTTATTATTTCTCTCTCCTATTGAGATTCTGATTTAATGGTATTTGAGAGTGCTAGGTAGAGGTAAGAAAAAAAAGAAGTAGATAGAATAACATATCCCTATATTTAATTGCAATTGTCATCCCACAATTTTAAAAAAGGTATCAAATTCATCCCATTGTATTAAATTGTGTAATTTATTTATTTTTTTGCAAAAGTTAAATTGTGCAATTTTATTCCTCTATGTTCTATTCTAGGGATAGAGATATCTAGTCAGAGTTAGTCTATGTTAGATCTATGGGCCCTCTCAGGTATCTATAAGATACTTTTGAGTGTAAACAAATCACTATACACAATAAATTGAGTAAAGTAGCAACGTAGCCAAGGTGTGATGTGAGTGCACAATAACAGCTAATAGAAAAAGTAAGTAATATACATATAGATTTTACCCCTTATTTATAGAATTTATAAACTTTGGACCTTTGGTGAATTTTTAGGAGTCCAATATTGAATTCATTGCTATCGCACTAGGATTAGTATAAATTAGGAAATATTTTTTTTTTTGTAAATAGGAAATATTTCCCTCTTAGGGATTATATCTCTTTAGCCTTCTAAGATATGGGCCTAGTGATTAGCTCACATTCCTAAGGTAGACTACTCTACCTTAGTTCTAGAGCTTACGATTTAAGCCCAGCCCAAACATGTGAACCTGAACCCAAATGTACTAATAATGAAAATCTCACTATATCATAAGAACACAAACATGTGAACCTGAACCCCAAAAGTATCGAATCACCTATTTTATCCCAATTTGCCTCCAACTTTACGCATTTCCACAAATAACAATACTGGCTCCAGTTATATATATATATATATATATATATATATATATAAAGATATATATTGACTTCGGTGTAATACTACAAATCCTATTCTTCATCCCAAGCATTGATTTCTATTCATCTAATGATTATTATTTATTTGAAATTAATATTTAATTAATTGATACAACTCAATAAATTTTAAAGAAACATTATTGGCATTACGAGCATTTCCACATGGAGTTGCAAATACATTATAAATTTAAAACAATCCTAACCATCCATAGGACGGTACGTCTTGAGCAAACAAAAGATAATATAAACAAAATTGCCAAAGGTTAATGTATCTTCCTTATAAGGACACCGGAAAGGAATTATCAGAGCCGCTTGAGATGCTGGGTTTCGGAACTGTAGTTCTCTTCAATATGCCGGGTGAGAAGTGAGATTCCATAATGTGAGGCACTGGAGGCAGCATAATAGGATGTGACAGTGAGTTGAGTGAACTTTGGAAGCACATAACCTGTAAATTAACATGTATCCACATTATTAATGGCGATGGGTATTTAAAGCTTAAGAGTATCATCATCACTACAATAAAACTACAAGACTTTTAACACCTCTAAGTGATGTTTGCTTACAGAAACTATATGACATAACACAGGCCAAGTAACATATTTTGATGTGAACATCAGTTCAACCTATGCAATATCAATAACCGAGTCTGGAATTTCATAGACCCAATTCCAAATTACTACATGTTAATAGCAGAGTAGTCAAATGCACCAAAAAATGGTGCTATAGCTGGGTAGATTGCATCAACAAAGTTAAGTTAAGTAGTTTATCCATGCTTTCAACTAGAACAATTTTAGGGTTTTAAGGAGCTTCTCCATGTGCTCTCTCTGTTCTTCATTGCACAAACCCATTGGACACAGAGCCAAGAAGATATCACAGCCTTCTATCTACACAAATGCGGCAGTATTCTGCACCTGTTTCCCAGCTCTGTTTCATCCTCAGCAATCCTCTATTTCCCACTTTCTTAGCCCGTTTCAGACTTTATCCGGCAAAGCTCATTCCTGTTTTGCAGTTTTTCCAGCCATCGGTAACCATGTCGTCAACAATGTTATTGACGTATTGTTTCAATTCTGCCTTATAATAATAATTATGTATCTTTGAAGATATAAATTTAAAGTATTAATGATGAATATCTCAAGTTTTGAGTGGTGTTTGAATTTTGAGCATCTAGATTTGTATTATAAATTATTTACATGGTCCCCTCTATCTCTAATGTAGCAGCTGCTATATGACCTACAGCGGTTTTGGGGTTGGCTGCTCGGCGTAACTGGGATTAACTACTATGGCTAACAGAAAAGCTCATCAAACCTAGTAATTAAGGGAAATAAGCTCAGTCAATAGTAGAAACCCTGTGGTAGTCAGAAACCTAAACAAATAATGAAACAAGACCAAGAACTCAATGCAGTCAACAAAACCCAATGAACCTATACAGGTTCAAATTGACAGGTGAAACTCGGACAAAGATTTGAGCCTAAACCAGCAGGAAAAGAATTAAAATTAAAATATTGTAATGGCCAAAAGTTAAATAACTGAAGGCTTCTATTAAGAAATTGACATTTTAAAAGGGGGACTTTGGCCCCTTCAATGTTACGATTTTAGTTCTGTACTGGTTCACCAGAATGCTGAAGTCTTGTTCTACCTCATCCATTTTGATCAGACACACACACGCGCACACACACATATATATATACATGTATATATTGAATCCAGGCTTATTTTTAAAAAATAAAGGTTTATCTTATCTCAATTATCAAAACCTTTTCAGTTCTTTTTAACAAAATAATACATCATTATCACTCTCCACTATTTTCAAATTTCAAATTTTTTTTCCATTCTCCAACAAACGTCCTACATAACTATTTTCCCACCCGTTATACTATGGTGTCCCTACATCTGTCATCCCTCTTATATATCTTGACTCCATTTTCCCTCCCTCACTTCTCTAAAACTTCCCCTTTACCCATTCTTTATCACCTTTTATATTCTCTTTTCTTTCCACCCCTCCGTGTTACACATGTCCTCATCCCTTCTTCCTGATCTGCACTAAAGGTGAAGCCTATGGCGGTTTCACTGTGACCTAACAGTGAATAGGAAACAATGATGAAGGAAGGAAAAACAATCTGATTTTAAGTCATTGGGAGGGGAGGGGAGAAGAGCCAGGTGCGGATTTGAGGTCATGGCTGCTGGTGGGGATGGCTGAACAGTGGTGATATGGATCCTAGTGGTGGCGTGTGATCTATTCGAGGTGTTGCATGGTCTGTGACTCAGTGCAAAAAATTCAAACCAGCCGGTTAATGCATACCAGCTCTGGTTCAAGCATATCACCTGTTTTGGGTTTATAAAACACTGTTTAGATATTTTAAAAGAATAACTATTTATAAGGAATGCTCCCTTTTCAGGCAGACAAGGCAGTTCTACTCCTTTTAGATGGGGTGTTTTGCATTCAATTCCAATTATCCTATGAGACGCAAATCGTAACTTCAAAGACCAATCAAGACAACAATTATTCAATCATTGAAGTGTCAATGACTACATATATTCTGAAAATTTAAGCTATTAGAGAGAAGCTCATGAATGGTTTGATATCTCTCTAATGAGATCAAAGTTTAAGACAACAAGTTAATGGCCATTAACCAGGCTGAGTGTGTGGGAAATTGTAGGAAAAGGAGGGGTATGAAGTATAAAAAATCTGCTGTGGGCACTATTCAAACTCAAATGCCCTAATGTAAACCTAATACAAAAGTTACCTCCAAATGCAGCACTTGCTCCAGAATATATCAACAATGGAGGGAACTGTGAACAAATAAGAAAATAAGTAGGCAAGTAATTGTAATTTGCAAAGGGAACTCAAGAGTCACTTAAGGTCTACGTACCCCAACTGCGAAAGGCAGCCACTTCGGTCCCTTAAGAAGATTTTGAAGATATGGTATCCCTACAACAAAAGATTAATGAACAATTCCTTCAACAAAAAGGCTATATTATAAAATCGCTTTTTTTCAAAGCTAAAACAAACGCACCCTATATCAAATTTAAACTAAAGGGGTATATCATAAAGTAGAAACTGAAGTTACCTGTATTCAAACCATGAACTGCACTAAGCATGCCACCAATCCCTGAGCCAGCCTATTCAATGGGAAACACAAGAAAACATAAGCAATAAGAACACTCACACAATAAGAATATCGTTAGAATCCCAGTTCAAAAACACAAAACCTACGAATCAAAACCGTCAGAACATTATGAACACTCTTGTTATGCTAAACGCAAATCAAAACCAATCGCGAAACGAATATCCAACATTTATATATTCTAATCACAGGTAAGAAGAGAGAAACTCACGACGGCAGTGGTATCGTGCAAGACAGAAGTGATGGTCCACTCGCCTCTTTCCTGAACGTACACAATCACAAAAACACAGTAAATCTCATTGAGTCAATTCATCGAACACCTCATTCGCAAAACACAAACACGTTATAAGTGAAAGAAGAAGAAGAAGAAGAAGAATAGAAACTCACGGAATCAGGGTTGAGAAGGGAGAGACAGCGAGGGCATCGAGCGGAACCGAGGCCAGGGTTGATGGTTGGATCGCGGTCCAGAATTCCAGTCCTTAGCTTCTCTTCATACACCTCTCTTGTACCCATTTTTCTGCCCGATTTTGAAACGGTGCTTTGATCAGTGTTCAGAATAAGCAAAAAGAGGTTTAGATATCTTGAAAAAAAAAAAAATTGAGGTTTTAGAGGAGGGATCGTGATAAATGTAGTGAAGGCTGAAGTTGTGTGGGTAAACTCTCAAATATAGATATTCTAAATATATATATTATTAATACTGGGAAGATATTTATCACCAAAAAAGTTTATCACTCTTACAATCAATTTAATCACATTAGATTTTTGTCAATCTAATAATTATAATTTATTGAGAATTAATAATTAATTAATAAATATGACACAATAAATGCTATTAATTTTTAATAAATTATAACTATTAGATTGACGAAAATCAAGGGTGATTAAATTGATTATAAGAGTAGTAAACTTTTGTGGTGGTAAGTGGATCCGTTCCTTATTAATATATATATATATATATATATGGTCCAGAATTCTTTGACTCCGGTTTTAAACTAAAAAAATTAATATTAAATCTCAATCGTTGATTTCTGTTAATCCAACGATTATAGTTTATTGAAAATTAATAAATATAGTCGAATAAATTATAACCGTTAGATTTACGAAATAACGTTTAAGATCTTATGTCAAATTTTTTAGTTTGATACTGTTGTGAAACAATAATTTGAAATTTTATAAATAAATATAATAAATATTTAAATATTACTTTTTATTTATTTATTATATATATTAAATATAATTTCATATTTTAAATAAAATCTATTTATTATATAAATAAATTATTATTAAAATCTTGAATTATTTAAATTGAATAATGATTTGAATTTTTTTTTACATTTAAGTTTTTTATTATCTTTATATATTTAGTGTCTTTTATAATTAAAATTAAAATTTAAATATTGTTTTATATGTATTAAAACAAAAGTTTGTCTAATTAATCAAAAATGATAAGAGGAGAGGCTAAAGACTAAACAAACAACCACTTATTTACAAAAAAAAAAAAAAAAAAGACTAAACAACCACCATACATACATAAAGGTATCAAAATGGACCGGGCTCGGACTCAGTTTTTCAACTAGCATACTTAATTAAACTAAAAACAAAAAAGTTTTTCTAACTTTTATAAAACTAAAATGTTTTTTTTTCTAGGTTAATTTTAATTATTATTTGATGGAACTTAACGTATGAGATACATGTAATTTTAAAATAAAGAAAAATGAAAAGTTATTATCTTAATTATTGATAAAAAAATTGACCATTAATATTGAGAAATGATGGTGCTACAATATCAAATTAATAGTAAATGAGAAAGTGCACTAGTGTAATACAAATTTTTAAAAAAATGGAAGAAAGTGCAACAGCACCACGAACTAAAGAAATCATTAAAATTATAATTAAATGATAAAAAAAGAATAAAAAGAAAGAAAAAACTTTCAAAAAAAACAGATGGGTTAGCCGGGCTCGACAAACTGACTTTCTCAGCCCACTATCAAAAGCGGGACACGACGAGAAAGCTCGTTTGTAGATGGGTTGATTGAAGGGCAGGCGGGCGGCCAGCTTTGGCACTAGAGATGGCAATATGGGTTGAACCTGACGGTTCAACTCGCCAAAGCGGGTTGGGTTATACCTCTCAACCCACCAACCTGCCTAAACCCGCTTCGTTTAGTTGTGGGTCAAAATGGATTGGTGGCAGGTGGGCTCGCGGGTCAGTTTTTTTTTTTTTTTACTATAAGGTAGTATTTTATTTATCACTAAGCTTTTGTGTTATACATTTCTTTTTTATTTTAGTACTTCCCTAGAAAAATAAAGAAGAAGAACTTTATTTGTGACAAAGGTTATTTATATATAAAGGCAAAAATAAGTTCCTAAAAAATATATGACTGAATATTAGCTTATATTTAGGTTTGCGATTGAAAAAAATTAAGGAGAGTGCGAAATAAAAATAAGTAATATTATAAAATTAATAAAATTTAATTTACTATTTTTTTAATTATTTTTTGGTTTTTAGGCGGGTTGGCCAAAACGCGGTGGATTGATGTTTCCAACCACCATCAAATGGCGGGTCAACCCGCCCCGCCCCGTTTTGACGGGTTGAAGGAGGGTCGAGACGGGTTGGCCCGTTTTGCCACCTCTATTTGCCACCTCTTGATACAACAAAGTTAAACACTAATTAGTGTCTCACACAGCAATATTTTATTATTATTATTATTGTGTAGTTAATAAAAAATTATTCAAATAACATAACAGCCCATAAAACATAAAAATACAAAATTTAATTAAATTAATAAAATCGCTTACAAAATAAAATAATAAAATCTAATGAAAATAAACCTATTCATTATATTTTTCCCTTTTTTTTCCCTAAACCATGGACTCTTTTTGTTTGTCGTATATAAAGCCACATCGTTTTGTGAGTTGAGACAATATGTGTTTTTTAAGCTGAGTGAGACAGTTCTTTTATTCTTTGAGGAGGTGTTTGGTAGAGGAGAAATATTTTAAAATCCAGGAAATAATTATTACTGAAATACAATGAGAAATAATATGTTTTTCAGAATATTAGTAAAAGGTGTTTGGTATGATAAAATTTTTCTGGAAATATATGGTTAATTTTACTGAACGTGTGTTTGGTTAATTGTGAAATATTAGTAGGAAATAGATGTTATTTGACGAAATTGACCTTAGGTTAACGTTTTTTTTTAAACAAAGAAAAGGGTCTGCTGTGTTATACCTAAATTAAGAAATAGATGGTTTTTAAATAAGGTGGTCGACATAACTGGTCAAATCTGCACAACCTGTGGTTTCCTGAGGCCGCGTTTGTGGAGTGTGAAGTGTGGTGTTCGTCGACGGACACGCCAAATACAATAAAGCAAACGATCAGGTAAGGTCCTCCGTTCCAGTTGTGTGCAAGTCGTGCTTCTTTCATGTTTTCGTTCGAATAATGTATGGTTCTTGTTGAATCATTTACCGTGATATGAAGGAACCAATTTTTGTTTTGTTTTTACTTCCTTCGAGCTTGATGGGTCTAGTTAGTTTGTGAGATTTGTATTTGTTTCGTTCCTGTTAGCATAAACGAATGGAAAGCTTTTCATAAATCATAGGTCGAAGTTGAAACTTCCCAAAATAGAGGGTTAGGTATGTTCATAGATGATTTCTTAATGAACTGGTTTGGAAAATGAAATAGGGTAAAATGTTATGCCATTATTGTTACCTTCACCAAAATGAACGAATGAATTAAAGTGTGTGCTTGTGGTGGGGTCAAAAATTCATTCAGCCTCACTACAGAACATTGTGTATGTCCTTACATTTTTCTGAAGTTTGTTTGTTGTTGTAGGGGTGATTCCATTCATTGTGTGTGTGTGATTTGAACTTGTCAGCTTCAAGGTAGAATGGGTGGAGACGGTATTGCTAAACGCGGGTACAGAAGTGTTTTTTCTGGTGATTCATCATGTTCGTCCTCATCGAGGCTAACAATGTGTGGGTGTGAAATGAGGGCGGTTTTGCGGAAGTCTCGAACACCAAAAAATCCAGGAAGGATGTTCCTTGGGTGCCCGTACTTCTCAAGGTCTGCTGAGAAGTGTGACTTTTTTCAATGGGTTGATGAACCCACTTGTGCTGAATGCATTAAGAAGGACACGTTGGTTATGTTGTTGGTTGGTTTGGCAATTACTCAGAGTGTAGCAATTGGGCTTGCGTTATATATGAAGTAGTTACGAAGTCAGCTTGTAATTATGTATTTCGTTTGTTAACTTTTTGTATGCCGTAAAGATGTTAACAAACAAAGCTGTAAACGGTGTAACCAGTAGTAATCTTGTAGAACCTAACATGATGTAGTGGGTTTTAATGTCATTCGCCTTTTTTTGCGGTTTGTTATGTATATTTATGGTTTAGACAATTTGGTTATTTTACCTTGTAAATTTCTGCAATTTGCTTAAGCTTGATTCCCTTTTTTTCCCATTTCATTCCCCTTTGTTCTTTCTTCATCTTCGGTAATTGTTTCTTTTTCTACTCAATTAAATTTTGTTTATTTGTTTTGCATTTTTGTAAATACTTTTTGGTATGTGAGTCCATCTATAGTAGGTGTTAACTGTTACCATTTGTTTCGATGGTTATTTTATCAAACTGAGTGTGGGTTGGTGTCATCTTCTTTATCTTCCTCAATTGGGTTCTTTACTCCCCCAAATACAAAGACGGGAAAACAATGGTTGGCACAAAGAAGGGACACACAGTCTTGGAAGTTGGAGCTGATGGGGCAGCCATCATCACCATCATCAACCCTCATGTGAAATCCCTCTCCTATGATGGTATTCCTTTTTTATTTCTTATTTACAAGCATGGATCTGCTTCTTTGCTGCAATACTCCCATACCCTTTTTTTCTTACATCTGAAAGCCTTAATGGTATTGGCTAGTTTTGTTATTGACTAGTTTCTTGATTAAATATCAAAAACTAATATAAAGAAATAACTTTATGTAATTTGTCATTCCTACTCCCCATTGAATACTATTCAGACAACAGTTTTGTTTGTTGGTACTGGCTCAATGATATATCTTTCAGAAATAGTTATATATATATATATATATATATATATATATATATATATATATCTATTGAAAGTGACATTTGCATTGTTGGACTTCCTTTTGGGTTTTTACTGAAAATTCAATTAAGGAGAACATGTTTTCCTGTTTTATTATCATATGATAGCTAGGTGCTGTGAGGACTAGTAGTATTATTTTTTTTTCATTCTGTAAGTTGTGGTTTTGGATGTCTTGCTGATATAGTCATGCATTTTCTGGCTTTTTCTATTTGGTTTTCCATAAAGGATCTCCCTTCAATTGTGCATTCAAATAACTGCAACTTGGTTTTATTAATTGTTACAAAAATGAGAAGACATCGTATTTAAATATTAACTGCCATGTAGTGTCTAACAAATGTCAGTAACTGCTTCCATATTTAAGAGCTTGAGCTTTGAAATAAAAACACAGTACACAAGTGCTTTTGGTATTTTAGCTTGAGTAAACAATGAAAGCAAGGAGAGGAAAATGCTCTGAGGTAAGCTATGTGACTTGCCTCATAAACAAATATGACTTGGTTATATTGAATACAATGCTCTGTGCTTTCTGCAGAGCAGGTGAAATGGA